TGAGTGGCTGTACAACACCAACCGGGTTTTATGCTGCATCAGGTGGCGGCGTGTTTGGTTTGAATTTGAAATTTTGGTAAAGAGCCAAGCATCGTACCGAGTTCCCTTTCCGCCCGTCTCTATGACCAGTGAGGATGATGCGCGGGCGGAGGCAGAGCGTATTCAGGCTGAGCGACGTGAATATGTGAAGAATATCGGGATTGAGTATCGTTTCGGGTGTTATGAGGTAATTTTTTGTTTTGTTGGAACTTTTTTTGGTGTGACATTTACCAACTGCGCTGTTCGGACTGACACTGAGTCCAAAATTATGTATTGTTCCAGGAAAAACGACCAGAATCGTGTCAGCTGCTAGCCGAATATATGGAAGCGATCGAGAAGAACACCAAAGCAGCCTTTCAGCTGTTCAAAAGCAATTGCGACCAATACGACTACCCGAAAAGTTGCTACAAGTATGCGATGTACCTGCTGGCCGGGAAAGGTAAGTGGACTTCCCCAGGAATTTTGGAAAATCTAAACTGAGTAGGTGTGGAAATATGCTGGGAATATGAGAGACGAGCAGAGATAGAAAAGGCGTATGGAAATTGTTTCTTTCGTTTCTTTAGAGTGTGAGCCAAGTCTGAAGAAAATGATCGAGCCGTTGGAAAAAGCGTGCGAGGCGAATATTCCGGGTGCGTGTCGATATTTGTCGTTGGTCTATTGGAACGGTGAGCCGGATCGTGTGGCCGACTCGGAAAAGGCGGAAAAATTTATGAAAAAGTGAGTTGGCACTTGTCCAATTTTTTGAGAAATTTATGGAATTTACAAATATTGAAAAATTCGAATTTAAACAATTTTTATGTGCTTTTTCAGAGCGTGTGAGCTGGAAGACTCGCAGGCATGCTGGCTGCTGAGTACATGGTTCATGGGTCCTACACAGAAATTTGTGCATGCCTCCCCTGTGAAGAATGAGGTATGTATAGGGATATATTATTTATTATTTTTTATTGTTATTTTTATTTATTATTGTTGTTATTATTGTAATTCATTATCAGGATTGCCTCTTATTTTTTAGGATAAAAGTAGAATTGGCCAATTGCCAAGGCGTATGGATCTCGCCTTAGAGTACGGTATAAGGGCATGCGATCTTCAGGTGCCCCAGTCGTGTGCGAACGTAGGAAGGTGGGTGGTTTAAGTGACATTTTTTGGCATTGTTCCGAATCATTTCAGAATACTTGGAAGGGTTCCAAGAATTTTTGAAAAAAAGTTGGAAAGGTGCCAGCTTACTAACAAGTAATAATAAAAATTGTTTTAGGATGTATAAACTAGGTGATGGTATCGATAAAGATCCGGACAAGGCGAAGGAGTTTTTGGAGAAGGCGAAAGCGATTATGACGAGTATTAAGGAACGAGACCAGCAGACTGGGTTCACTGGTTAAGGGCTTGTGGCCTGGTTAATTAGGCTGGCCTGGTGGAAAGCAGTCGTGTGTTGGGTAGTAGTGCTCTTAGAGTTTTGTAGACAACACAGCCTTTGACCCGGACGGGTCAGATTCCACGTTGAAAGTATTGATTCGCTGATTGAAATTGTAATTTTTGATGATGTTTAGAATAAATTTTGAAGTTTTTTTTTTGTTTTTTTTGCAGATTGCAATTTTGCAATCTCATTGATTTGTTGTCTGTTGTTTTTTTTTCGGGTGAATGTTTTGTACGGAGCCTGCAGGATGAGTAGTAGTAGTTGTTTTTATTGATGCATGCAGCAAAACTCTTACACAGAGAGCATAACGGAATGAGTGAGGTGGAATGAATCTTGTTCGATGGTGTTCTTGCTGCTTTGCCAGTGTTGCTGTTGTAGACGGTTGTGGTCGGTCGTGTCTGTGGTGTGCTCTCGTCTCTTGTCGTGTTTGATGTGGAAGTGTCCGTTTTTAGCAATGGATATATGGATTGATGTGGTGTACGTTGTTC